TATTTTTATCTTGATGTGGCCATGAGATTTCCATACACAGCATGACAGCTTGTAATCTCAACTATCTAGCCCAATTCTCACAGAGCTGAGGTCATGCCGGGTCAATGTCATCATATCAGAGTTGGAGAACGGAAGGAGACTACTGTGTTAAATCTTTTTAAAAAGGCTCTCACAGCTTTTTCCCATCTTTTTCTGCACTGATGGATGGATACTTGTCCTTCTCCTTGCACTGGATGCTGGGGGCTTGTATTGATATCCTAGATCATGTGTCACGTTATGGGATAAACTCATCTGTGTCCTGACAGCAATGGGGGATTTCCATCTTTAGCCACTGCACGTATTTAAATCTCATCCCTGGTGACAGCAACCGCAAAGGATATATTTGGACTTTCTAGGAATAAAATTGTATGAGAGGTATTTTGTTAAAAAAAGGCAACAGGACATCAGGTTTGCTGGGCTTACTTTGATTCCTAAACCTGGTCAAACATGTGCTGTTGCCACATGCTTGATAATGCATCAATGAAAAATATCACTTAAAATAACGTTTGATAGTGCATATGAAAAGCCCTACTAAATTACTGAATTAGTTCAAACGGCGGTCCTACAAAAAAACATATGCAAAACAATGAAGTATTCGGACCTTAGATAGACCAATCATCATTTAGGGCTCTTTCTATTAGGAGGTGGCTTTCCCAAACCCTATCCCCTAAATTTCAACTTGTAAAAATTTAACTTACATTTTTTTTTTGCATTTTTCAGTGTTGTTTCTAAAAAGATCTATTTGATTTATTTTAAAATGAAGTGCTAAGATATAAAAGATTTAATTTTCAAATTAAATAATAAAATGCTGTCCCATGTTTTTGTGTCTTAGAGTCTTTTTTAGCCACACCCCTGCATTTTATAGCAGGAATGAGACTGCATCCCTGTCCCTAATGACCACATGGTAAGCGATCAGATTCCACTGTTTTGAAATAAATATATCCCAAAGTCTGAAATCAGTTTGTAACAGTAAGAACTGTCACTACTGAAACACATAATTTCTGCAAAAAAGTAAATGTTTTGGTGTTTTAATGAAAAACATTTTGATTACATATTTGTACAATTATTCAAAGCTGTGTTTGCTAGTCATGTACTGGCTAGCATTTCTGAGTTATACTCAAAATTAGCTAAAATTGTCACCACTGAAACATTTGGAAAAGATTTGGAGTTTATTATTGTATTGATAGTGACAAAGTGGTTTAAAATCCAACTCAGTTAAACGTCTGAAATGTGTTTTAACTCTGACTTTGACTCTGATCCATTTTGGTAGAATGATTCAGATACAGTTCATATAGAAACTGAAACTGGGGAAATGTTGATACATCACGTATGACTGATGATGTCTTGCATACTAAATGTGATTTTTCAGATGACAAAAATACTAAATTGTTTTATGTCTTTCACAGACAACAGGAACTCACTCATCCAATCACATGGTGATTGTTAAAATTATATGTTAAAATAATGTTAAAATTATTGGTTTGTCCTCTGTTTTGACACATATGGTACTCAAAAAGTAGCCCAAACTGGATTACAGGCAGCCAAGCTATGTGTAAAAGCATATAGACTGAATGAGGCAATGAAACTCTTAAAGCCCACTCAATGTCATAGTGTACTCATAATTTTGCCTTTACCACTCTTTTTTGCACTTGTCTTTCATCATAGCTAATTAAAATGGAGTGGAATCATTAAAACATAAATCGATAAAGGCCTTAATTTCATTTTCAAATATAATATTTTTTGTTATAGTTTGATTAGTAACACAATTTTTTAAAAATTGAAAAGAGATTTTTTGTGCAATAAAACAGTACTGATTGCTGTTTCAGTGTCCTCTAACTGTGCAGGTTTATACATCATCATCCTGTACATGCTAAACTCCAGCACAGATGTAGTTTAGCTTTACAGTAAACAGGCAATGGGCCTCATTCACCAACCATTCTTAAGAAGGAATTTCTTCTTAAAACCCACTTGTCACCAGTGTTTTCTTATGTAGGATTTGCTACTGCTTTTCAGTAATATTGAACTGTTTGAACATATTTATATTCATGGGCCCAAAAAGTGTCCCTGTCAAAGCAGATAGAAATAAGTTGATAGATATAAACTGTACATTTAAAAAATCCTTCTCTTCAGTAACCACTGAATAAAGATATCATAAGGTGACAGTTTTTCATGCCACCGAGGTTCGGACCCCTCGTCCACCTGTCTAAGCAGTTGCCGCTAGTGCACTGTGCCTGAGAGTGGCTGGTGCCGATTTGTCCCCCCTGAGTGACCTCCCAAGACCAGGCATGTAAAAAACACATAGCCCAGCATTCTTAACACACACCCCAGGAGGTCCACATTACTGCACACTTTAGTGTTTTTACTGCGCTAATACACCTGATTCAACTATTCAGCTAATTATGGTGAAGTCCTTCATGAAAGGAACCAGGTGTGTAAGAATGGACCTGACTTGAGAACCGCTGAGTTGTGGTCTGTGCAGAATGTTAAACAGTGCCTCAGTCAAAAGAGCCTCAGGTGTTTGCCATTGCACAGATTTGTTAAATTCCATCAGCTAACACACTCACATCAAATCCAATATATTGTTTATTTATTTATTTGTATTTATTCTAATGTTTGGTGTTTTTTTTTTCTTACCTACTGCCCAGAAAAGGCTTTACATATTATTTTCTCAGATGTTTGTATATACTACAAAAAGCTTACCCTATATGCAGCACATATTCACAAATGTTTAAAAGTTCTGCAGGTAGATGAGTAAAATTATAGAGTTAAGATTCTACTACTCTATAACTTTACAGATTCCATTTGCAGGAAACTTTAAAAAAGTGAAAAAATGTTAGGCATGTCAGGACAATTATTAATTTTGCCAGAAATAACCAAGTCTATTCTGTCAATAATAAACTCCTCTCTTAGCCTTGGCTTTATTCCAAAATCTCTAAACTAGCAGTAATTAGACCCTTTGATTAAGAAAGCTAACCTTGATCCCTGCGATCAAATTATAGACCTATCTCGAATCTTCCCTTTATATCAAAGATCTTGGAAAAAATTGTGGTAAAACAATTAAGTTCCTATTTGCATAGAAATCATATACATGAAAAAATTCAGTCTGGTTTTAGGCCACATCATAGAACAGAGACAACATTAGTGAAAATTGTAAATGATCTCTTATTATTCTCTGACCAATAAAAATGTATCTTTGCTAGTCCTCCTTGATCTTAGTGTAGCATTTTATACGATAGACCACTCTATCTTACTAGATAGACTAGAAAACCTTGTAGGGGTAACAGGAATAGCTCTTTCCTGGTTCAGATCTAACCTGATTGATCACTATCAGTTTGTAAATGTAAACAGCGAATCATCTGTTCTTGCAAAAGTAAAGTATGGTGTTCCACAAGGCTCTGTTTTAGGACCTATATTATTCACAATACATATGCTACCACTGGGTACCATTATCAGTAAACATGGCATCAACTTCCACTGCTATGCCAATGACACACAGTTATGTATATCAACCAAACCAGATGATAAACTTCAACTTAACAAGATTGAGGACTGTATAAAAGACTTAAAAGACTAGATGTCAAGTAACTTTCTCCTACGCAACTCAGATAAAACAGACGTTCTTCTTCTTGGTCCAAAAGCTGCTAGAAACGAATTATCTAATTTAATGCTTAAACTTAGTTTCTCAGTTGCATCAGATAGATGTTTAAAAAATCCTGGTTGAGAATGAAGTTATAATAAACTTAATAGGTAATAATATCTCAAACATCTCAAATTTGAAACGTGATGATTAACTCTTCTAGTAGACAACTTATTAAGAAATTACTATAAATTGACATAAAAAATGCCTTTCTGTTCTCTAAAAACTTGAAATATTGAATAAAATAGGCAGGTGAAAATACCTGGTGTCTAATATTTTAATCTATACTGTATAAGTTTGTCTCGTGTAAAATAACAAGTGATTTGAAACTTTTAAAACATCAAGTTATTTTTTTTAATTTAGCATCCTCATTCCTGGATCTGGGCCTTGTTGTGGTGGAAGGGCTTGTGTGGTCTAGGGATCTTCAGAGCTAAGTTGTCTGGGGGAAAATGCTTTGCAAGCGTCTGGTGGCCGGGCAGCCAACATAACCCGCCGGGCTCAGCCTGACCAGGCAACGTGGAGGGACCATGTGGGCCCACCACCTACAAGGTTCCGCATGGGGGACCAGTGCAGTGCCATATCTGCTCTCACAACTGCTACCGTGACCCTAGCTGGCTTAAGCAGTGATAAATTTAGCATTCACTGTAAATGGTATGTTGACAAATAAATAACCAAAGCAAAATGATCTGCCAGTTATCTGTTATATGGTATATTTGCTTTAGTAGATTATTTAAAATCACTAAAAATATTTGGAGCCTATGCTTGGATATTCACTCACAAACTGTTATGATTATTTATCTAATGAGGAAAATTATTAGATTTGTCACATAGATTTGTGGTATTTAAACTTTTTGTTTGCTGCAGTGAACTGTGGAGTTGGTGGTATTTAATTAGCATGGCTTGTAAAAAAAAACACACATCAGCAACAGAACAGGTGGTAATTTATAAACTGAGAGTAGTGTACTTATATTAAGCTAAGTGTAAAGACACTGAAAATGTTCTGTTGCTTTTATATAGCACAGGGGCAAGTGCAAAATAATTTGCATTTTTACTCTACATTAAAGTAATGGTAATAATGTTTTTAAATGATTCATGATTCTATTCTAGACTTCAGTAGAAACTTCAAAGTTACTTCAAGGTTAGCAAAATTACCAATTCTGCTTAAGTAAAAACCTAAAAGTTCCCAATGAAAGTCCTTTCAAATCCCTGCCTTGGGCATCTAGAGAATGAGAGTTGGCCGGGGGGTTGGGTCAGTGCAGCACTGAGGGGGGCTGTCCAATCTGCTGCCTTAAATTAGCTGTGGGAGAGGTCAGTCTGAGGGTGGAGTCTTGCACTGTCAGTGTCTTTCTAGTTAAGTATTACCTGCATTGCTTCAGCAGGAGCACTGCACTTGTGCTGTGTGTGTGGCTAAGTGCAGAGGGGGAGGGAGACAGAGAGAAAGAGGGACACCACTGGGAAAGCACAGACCAAGTTTGAAGTGATTAAAGAGGGGAGACATTGTTTCTTAACATCTTGGAGAGCAAATCGCCTTTGTTTTTGCAATAAGCTTTCAAGACTGCAGTGCAACTAGCTGTGGATATGGCTGGTTGTCTGCAAAGGACAAGACTGTGTGCAGCACAGACACTTCTGAAGTGCCTCCTTGTGCTGTTTTCATTAGGCTGTTGCTTCTACACAGCAGAGGCAGATCCTTTTGACCCAGCTTTCCTATACAGGCGCCAAACTGGACCTAATCCTGAAACAATCTTGGTGGCCCACAATGGGATTAGAGTTCCCTTCGGACGCTCTGTTTATCTGGACCCTATCAATGACCTTGTCACTGAGGTGCAGCCAGGAGACCGTTGCCACATCACGGTACTAGACAACGACCCACTGGCGCAGAGACCTGGAATGCTGACCCCCAAAAAATTCCCCTGTGCTTTCGGAGCAGAGGAGGTGAAATACACTCACTTTGGCTCGAGGAGTCCCAGCAAGGACCATGTGAAGCTGCAGCTGAGGTATGACTCCCACACAGACACTGTGATCATCCCTTTCATGCTAGAAGTGGAAGTGGTCTTCCAGCAGCTGGAGATCCTTACCCGTAACATGCCCCTTGTTGTGGAAAAGCTGAACGGTCAAAGCAACCCCATTGACAAAAAGGGCCTGGAGTTTGCTTTCGAGGATGGTGCCACTACTTGCAAGGTCACCACACTGGTTAGTGCGGGTGGTCTCCCCAGGTATGGAACTCTTTCAGATAACTCTGTTAATGGCCAGATGATTGACTGTGATGAGTTTCTCAAGAAAGGCATTCGATATCTACACACTGCTACCACCAAATCTCCTAACAGAGATTATATACCAATGTTAGTGGAAGTGCAGGATAATGAGGGCAATACTATTCAACAGGAGCACTTCCAGATCATGGTTAGAATTAAAGAAGGGGCAGAAAACACACCTCCAAAAGCCAGCTTTATAGCTATGATGATGATGGAGGTTGATCAGTTTGTGATGACAGCCATAACTCCTGATATGCTTGCAGCTGAAGATGTGGAATCAGATTCTGATGACTTAATCTTTAACATAACTTCTCCACTGGGCTATCAGCAGGGTTATATCATCAGCACAGATGATCAGAATTTACCCATAACCTCTTTTCGTCAGAGAGATATCAAAGACCTGAAAATTGCCTATAAGCCCCCGTCTGAAGATTCAGAAATAGAGAGGATTTTCCAGATTGAATTTGAGATAGTTGATACTGATGGGGCTGTATCTGATACATTTGCGTTTATGATTGTGGTGAAGCCAATGAACACTTTAGCTCCAGTGGCAACCAAGAACACAGGTCAGTTACTGTTTGAGGGTCAGTCAAGGCCATTGTCTACTTCCCAGAATTTAGAAATCAGTGATGAGGATAACCTTGAAGATGTGAAGATCACTGTAATTGATGGCTTGAAACATGGTGAGCTGACAGTGTTGGGGTCTCGTCAAAAGTTTTTCACACCGGCCGATCTGGATGCTGGCACTGTGGTATACCAGCATGATGGAAGTGATACTTACAGTGACAACATTATATTTAGAATGACAGATGGCACAAATGAAGTGGAGTTTTTGTTCCCCATCACAATTGCCCCCACTGATGATGAGCCCCCTATTATTAATGCTAATACTGGCATTGTGCTGTTTAAGAATGAAATGATGCAAATCTCTCCATTTATCCTGAGTGCTACTGATATTGATTCAGAAGACTCAACCATTAAGTTCATTTTAGAAGAACCCTATTCAGCCATTGGTGAGCTGCTGCTTAGACAAGTGGAGCCCCCTGCAGATGCCTCCACTTGGAAGTTTAGTGCAACAGATGAAATGTTTGAACAGGTGGTGACAGAATGGTTCCAGCAGGATATCCTGGATGGGAAACTGTTTTACCGCCACAAAGGACCCCACAGCACCACCACCGTCATTGACCAGTTTGTGTTCAGAGTCCAGGATGACAATGACCCTCCAAATCAGTCAGGAGAACACACATTCACTATTAAAATTCATCCAGTTGATGACGTACCCCCAACCCTGTACCCTGGCACCACTCTGCACATGACAGTTCAAGAATATGAGCTGACATACTTTAAAAAGAAGTTCCTACGCTACACAGACTTGGACTGTGATGACAGGGATCTCAAATATACCATCATCAAGCTCCCCACAGATACAGACGAGAACAACCCAGTGGCCCTTGGAGCCATTGTACTAACAGACAGCCCTGACACTGTCATTAGTGAGTTCACTCAAGCCCAGGTCAATCACCATAAAGTAGCATACAAGCCCCCTGACCAGGAACTGGGCATCACTCCAAAAGTGGTCCAGTTCACTTTCACTGTAGAGGACACAGCTGGTAACTCAGTAGATGGTTTATTTACTATATTTTTACAGCCTGTGGACAATAAGCCTCCTGTTATCACCAATACTGGTTTTACTGTACTGGAGAGAAGTACTTACATAATAACAAAGAATGAACTGGATGCCTCTGATCAGGACACAGAAGATGAGAATATCATCTTTAAAGTGATCCAAATCCCCAGGTATGGCCAGCTGCAGTATTTAGGAATTGACATGTCCAATGGGGAAACATTTATCTTAGAAGATATTGAGAGTGGCCGGCTGACCTATATCCATGGTGGTGAGGAATCGCTCAGTGATGTTATAAAAATTGATGTTAGTGATGGCTTCCATGAAGTTCCTATAGTTATTAAGATTAGCATAAAGCCAGTTGATGATGAGACACCAACCATTATGCTACCAGCCGGTCTTTTAGGGGCTTCCATTGATGTGCTTGAGAATGGAGCCACAGAGATCACGAGCAATGTGATCCAAGGTCGGGACGAGGACACAGACGATCTCATGCTCACTTTTATAGTGGAAGAGCCTCCGAGACTAGGGGAAATCCTGGTGAACGGTGCTCCTGCCGAACGCTTTACTCAACAAGATATCATCAATGGAGTAGTTGTCTATGCCCACACAAGTGGTGAGATTGGCCCTATTAAGGAGCATGATTCCTTCAACCTCACCATATCTGACATGTCAGATGAGTGGGTGGTAGGGGGCAACAAAGTCCAAGGAGTTCGTGTACATGTCACCATCCTTCCTGTGGACAGTATTGCCCCTGTTGTTAGTGTTGTGGAGCAATTTGTGGTAGTAGAAGGGGAAAAGAATGTTATTACACTGGAGCACATCAAAGCTGAAGATATTGACACTGATAATGATGATATACTCTGCACAATTATAGTTCAGTCAACATCTGGGTATGTGGAGAACATTTCTCCAGCTCCTGGGTCAGAGAAGTCAAGAGCAGGCACTGCCATCACTGCCTTTAGCATTAAAGATGTTAGTCTTAGTCACATCTACTATGTCCAGAGCATTCATAAAGGTGTAGAGCCAGTGGAAGACAGGTTCACCTTCCGCTGCTCTGATGGAATTAACTTCTCAGAGAAGCATTTTTTCCCCGTTGTCATCATCCCAGCCAATGATGAGAAACCAGAAATTTTCATTCGCGAGTTTGTTGTCATGGAGGGCATGAGCTTAGTAATAGACACTCCCATTTTAAATGCTGCAGATGCAGACATTCCAGGTGATGAATTAGAGTTTGAGATCATTAAGAACCCCAAACATGGCAACATTGTCCAACAGTTGACCACTGGGACTGTCCCTGTAGTGAAATTCTCCTTGGAGCAGATCAAAGAAGCATCTAATATTGTCTATGAACATGATGACTCAGAAACCAAGGAAGATAGCTTTGAAATTAGACTCACTGATGGGAAACATACTGTCGAAGAGAAAGTTCTGATAATGGTTATTCCTGTTGATGACGAGACCCCAAGAATGGCTATCAATGATGGACTAGAGGTCGAAATTGGAGAAACCAAAGTAATAAGCAACAGAGTCTTAAAAGCCACCGATCTGGACTCTGAAGACAAAGCGCTTACTTACATTATTCGCTTTGGTCCAGGTCAAGGCTACATCCAGCGAATCACCAAACATGGAGATGTTATTGGCAACATCAGCATTGGAATGAATTTTACACAAGATGAAATTGATAAACAACTGATACAGTACGTGCACACAGGCCAGGAGGGCGTCCGCGATCTGCTGAAGTTTGATGTCACAGATGGCATCAACCCACTCATTGATCGTTACTTCTATATCAACATTGGAAGCATTGATATGGTCTTCCCTGATGTCATTAACAAAGGAGTGACCCTCAAAGAAGGAGGTAAAGTGACCTTGACCACAGACCTTCTTAGCACAACTGATATTAACAGCCCTGATGAATACCTCAGTTTTAGCATTACACGTGCCCCTAGCAGGGGTCATCTAGAGTGCACTGACCTTCCTGGTGTACCCATCTCCACCTTTACCCAGTTGCAACTGGCTGGAAACAAAATCTACTATATCCACACCTCTGATGACGAAGTGAAGATGGACAGCTTTGAGTTTGAGGTGACCGATGGCTACAATCCAGTATTCCGCACCTTCCGCGTGTCCATCACTGATGTGGACAACAAGAAGCCAGTCCTGACCATCAACAAACTAGTGGTGGGAGAGGGTGAAACCAAACTGATCACACCTTTTGAGCTGACTGTGGAGGATCGTGACAGTCCAGATAGTCTACTGCGCTTTGTGGTCACACAGGTGCCAGTGCATGGTCAGCTGCTGTTCAATGGCACTCAGGCCATTACAACATTCACCAAGCAAGACTTAAATGAGAACCTAATTAGTTACAAACATGATAGCACAGAGACCAATGAGGATAGCTTCTCCTTTACGGTTACTGATGGAACTCACATAGACTTTTACGTGTTCCCCGATACGGTCTTTGAGACACGTAAGCCACAGACGATGACCATCCTCATCAACACAGTCGACAATGGTGTACCTCAAATCGTGGTCAACAAAGCTGCACCCACCCTGAGGGTCCTTCATACTGGGCATCTTGGATTCCTAATTACCAGTAAAGCGCTAAAGGCTGAGGACAGGGATAGCCCAAACAAAGTTTTGAAGTTTTCGGTGTCTGAGGCCCCTCTGCATGGTTTCATCATAAACACTGCCCTGGGAAACAACAGCATCAAGACCTTCTCACAAAGTAAGTCATAACACTTCTACCCGTAGTATCTCATTCTAAAGATTTCTCTTCTTAGTTTCATTTCTCAAAAGAAACCGAAATAATGTTCTCTAAGCCACAGAGGGTTTAATGTGAAGACCACAACTTGCTGCACACAGTAGAATAGGAACTTCTTTAAAATATAATAATTTCACTCATCATTGTTTTTTGCCAGGCGATATTGATGATATGAAGATCTGCTATGTTTTGCTTGATGGATCCAATGCCACAAGTGATATCTTTTACTTCACAGTAGAAGACAATGGTAAGACCACTTTTTTTCTTCTGCCTCTCTCATTAATTTAAGCTATCATGTTACACTTAAGTTAGTATTAATGCTAGCATTAAAATGAAAGGGTATTCAGTTGATTATTAATTTTTGCTGAAAGTTTTAGTAAGCTTCTGTATCAGCAAAGAGACTAGTTATATCACAAAGCATTGTTCTTGACTCAAATTCTGAACTTGGCAAGAGAGAATAGCATTATATTACAGTATTACAGAAGGACACCACTGTGTGCCTACTTTTCCTTGAAAGCAGCAGCATACCCAACAATGACAAAAGCCAGAAAACCTTCCTTGCCTTTTTTGTCATTTTATGACATAGAATTTTCCCTCTAGTGTGGTAACTAAAGTTTTCCCTGCTGTAAAATAAGTCTGACTTCTGCTGCTTTCTATTAGAAGTTCCCTTCAGTTACTGCATTATATCATTTTAACTATAACAAATGTCAAATAAGTTGTGATTAGACATATTGATAAAAACAGTGAAGATATTTGCTTCATATTCATTAATGTCTATTAAAATAAGGAAGGCCTCTGTGTTTGGTTAACCTCTATGTTTTCATCGGGTTTCCACTGATAAGTGATTGCACTATATTATCTTAAATCCACTACTTCTCTTTTCCTTTACTGTGAAACACGAATTTACACACTTAGCACAGAGTACACGGGGAGTTCAGGATATTCCAAAAGCAAAGTAACAAAATGTAACAGGTGGGAGGCTTTGCTATTTTAACTTCAGCTGTAAATGGTACATGCATTCTGAGGTTTTGAAATGCAATCCACACTGCAAAGTTTGGGCTATATTTATGCTGTATTGAGCATCATCAGAAGAACAAGATCATGGTAGTCACATATATTTTCATATGCCTAACACATTCCCATGCCATCCTAATAGCCTGCTACCAGCACGTTTTAACAACCTGTGACTTCATAATTGTTTCTTTCATAATTGAGCTTCCAGATCATACCAGATAATTCAAAGAAATGTAGTAAAAGGCTTTTAATGTGAAGTGCAGTCCATAAATACTTAGACATTGGCACAGTTCTTTTTTATCATTTAAAATAAAGCTTTTACTATGAGATTAAAATGCAAAACGCCAGCTTCAAGAGTATTTACATTTAACAGTTTATACATCGGTCATTGTCTCAGTTCACCCCCTTTAAAATATCTGAACTTATTACATGCTTATTATTCTGTAACTACATGGAGAACAATGTAAACTGGCAAGTTGAGCTATTTTATCTTATATAGCTTTGTATGATAGAAGTTCAGTCCAGGCAAAAATTGTGTCACTGTCCAATTACATACGCACATGCATATGTAAAAGTTTGGGTGCCCTCACCAAATTACGTTTTATTGATTTTTTAAGTGAAAATAAGTTAACATGTCCATTTTTCTGCAAATGCAGTGAATAATTTCTGTTTATTTGATGAGTGTAATGATTTTGAAAAAAATAAAAAAAATAGAAAGTGTCATAACTTTTACACAGGCCACATTTTATGTCTTATTTTTAACCCAAAATGTTGAATTCAGGAAATAAACAGTAACTGTGCATTACAATGTGCAGAGGTGTGTTCTCTGTGAAGGTTGTTTTAAATTATTTTCATGTAGAAAATTAACAAAACATTTGACTGGGGATCTTTAAACATTTGCATACTAAGGTATGCACCGCACTGTAGTTTCAAGATATTCTCATGACACTTTTAGTACACTTGAAGGACCTGGCTGCCCCTGTGGTTCGGGTATTTGGCTTTGTGTGTTTATTCAGGAAGAGAATGGAACCTTTATGTGAGACAAAAGAGGAGACAAAAGGATCTTATAGCTATGTGGGCTTGTGCTTGTCATGCTGCTGTTTGGGGATACCGGTCAGCTCCTCAGAACCAGATGCAGGAATGTGCATGTGTGTGTGTTCAAGGTGTGTTTGGTCACTCTCTGTATCTCCCAAGCATGTGTGGACACAATAGCTGGACACAGAGGTCTTGCTGTAAATGATCTGGAAGACTTAACCTCTCATGCCCCCCACTCCCTGCCCCCTACTCTACACACACCTGAAAGAGGGAGAAGAAAGGGAAATAATTATCTGATTAGGCTGAAGGTCTGTTTCTGGGTGGACATGTCTGAGCAGGTAGCCAGAGCTTTGGCGGTCAGTAAATAACAGCACATGGTTAATTGATGTGTCTGAGAATGTCTCTTTGAAATTAATGGAAGAATGTGGTTATTTTGGGAAAATGCTCTTTCATCTTTGGCTGATGTTCAGTTGTAAGTATATTGAATGTTTGGTTTATTATTTACTTATTAATTATACCTGTAGTATGAGGCTAATATACACTCTTAAGAAAAAGTGCCTTGAACAGAGCCACAGAAGAGCCTTTTTAACACCCTAAAGAAGAATCTTTGTACATGACATAGTTACATGTTAGAGTGAAGAGCCTTTTAAAGATCTTGAAAGCTCTTTATCAATTTCCTAGGATCTGTACATTACATCAAAACGTTCCCTAGGGAACAAAAAATCATCTGTCTCTGGCATGACACAAAGAACCTGCTCTGGCACTTTATTACAATTTATGTAGAATAAGTTACATCTATATTTTTCTCATCAGAATTTTATTTATTCATTTTAATGATAATGACTTCAGTCCTGTTTTCCAGTAGAGTATACATAGTGTAGAGCTTAAGAAAGACCAAGCACTGCAAGATCATTGATGACAATCTTCCTGTTGAATTCCATCTTATCCTTTACCAAGAAGGGAATGCTCTGGTGACTGTGTTGTGTGTATGTGTGCATGTGTGTGTGTGGCTGGCATTCAGCACCTCTGGCAACCCATCAGCTGGAAGCAACTGCTCGTTTAGGAGCCAGGCAGAGTTATCTATGGTTAGAGCCTCTGACAGCCTGGTTGAGGGCATGGCAGGTTTCAGAGCCAGAAAAGAAACAGTATAGGCCACTTTTAAAAATCCTGGCCTACATCTCATTATCAGTAGGGATTCACTATTGAAAATCCTTATAGTCCAGTAGCCAGTTGCACCAGCTGGACTTAAGTAGCCTAGTCTGAACATAAAAAGCCCCTGTGTTACAACTTTATGAGCTACTAAAATGTTAACATAGTTTAGACATAGGTTGAAGTTATACAATTTACACCTACCCATTAGCAGGTACATAAAAATGCTCATATGGTTGTTAATTTGAGACCTGAAAAATTCTAATTCAAGTGCAGATTACTTGCAGCTACACTCTATAAAAGGGACCAAACTGTTATTGGGGCCGTACCCCTCATGTCACTGGGGTGGTACTGTCAGGGGTACGTCATTAGTGCCTTTAGTTAGGGATCATAACTGTACCATATTCCACTGAAATTTCTTTTTATAGAAGTTCAATATTTATATAAGGTCTCCAGCCTTTTTATTTTACTGTTCTGTTTTAAAACATTAGGTTATGAGAAGATACAAATATGTACATTTTCTCCGGGAAAAACTTATTGAAGATGCACAGTTGGACCTTAAAACATTGTTGTATGTTTATGGATATATTTATATTGTTTGTAACTTGATATACAAAATTTTTCTGCCTGTTTAGTAACTTTTTACCCTGCTCTATATAAGGAAAGGAAGCCTCTGTTAAAAAATCAGTGCTGTAAATAAAGTACAATATAATTACACACTGATCTTTTTCAATTACTTTAAACTTTAAATGGGTTAAATGTTTTTATGCTAGACAATTTTATGCTAGGCTATAAGTACTAGACCATGAAAATACTCAAAATGTTCATCAGTGTCTAATTCAAGATATACTTTCACCTGAACTAAATGTGTATGTTTTGTTGAATTTCTAGTAAAAAAAGTTGACATCACAGAGAGCACACTTCTGCAATTTTACTGCATAACTACTGTTTATTTGCTGAGTTTAAAAAATAAAACATGGTCTGTGCAAAAGTTATGGCACATTTTATTATTTCCTGATATGTTATACTGCTCTACATTTGCAGAAAAATGTCAAATTTAAGCTTTTTCTCTGGAAAGGGTGTGTTAACTTACTTTAACTTAGAAACCTAACAAAACATCAAATGTGACAAGCTTCAAACTTTTGCATATGTAATATTGTAATATTACACCGAATATACACTGTAATAAGCTACCTTACCGTGTACTATTTTCTGTTTATATTAGACAGTATTACTGCAGACAGTGAAAGCATAATTCTGTGCAACAGTGATTTAATCTACCATATCTTTTCACATTAGTAGTTAAAATGCACCTTAAGTGTTTGTGGTGCAGGAATGGACTGGCCATTGGGAAGACCAGGACAATTCCTGGTGGGCCACTATGTGTGTGGGCCTGAGGATGTGAGTGTTTCTTACTGAGGGAGTGAGAAAGTGAGAAATGCATGGTTGTTTCTATTGTAGCCCTGTTTAAAATGAATGGAATCCACCTGGTACAAATGGTATGTGGCTATCAAAATATCCCACCTAGAGTTTATGTAGAGCGCTATCTAAATACGTGCTACAGCAGGACTTCTTGACGAGGTTTTTGGGGGTCATGGTCAGGGAGGGGGTGAATTACACAGTGGTTGTAGCAGGCTGAAAAGTCTAAAAGTCCAAGGTTGAATTTTATTGCCAGTCCAGCCCTGCTGTGGTGCAATTCTAAACATCATTAGATTTAAATAAGTTCCTATCAGTTTATGGTTTGGAGTAACTTGTGATCAAACTTTCATTCAGCTGGTGCAATTGGTTACATGACTGTAACTATCTGAAAAACTGTCCCACACACAATCTCAGACAAAACTGTACCTTTCAGGGTACAAACACTGCCACTGGGCTGGTACATTCAAGGATGTGTCTTCAACATAATTGTACCATATTCTTTTGCAGTTATATTTAAATTAAGTTGCATGGACTTTTTTCTATTTTAAAATGTTAACTTATGAAAGGGTACAAACATGATCCTTTCCCTTATTTACTACCCCAGTTAATCCAAATAATTCATGGATTGCT